ACCTCAAAATCGGTGCTTCCACCTGCAACAGCGGTAATTCCACCAGATACTGCCCAACCATCCCCTATGGAGATAGTCCCTCCTTCCTCCCTTGACCCCATCTTCGTCAGCTGACTCCCCCCCTGTCACACCCGACATCGGGGGAAGGCCTGCGGTCGAGGATATGTCCGGAGTTCAACACATTGCAGGAAATAACGATCCGAAGGAGCAGCACCATTGTAAATCGATCGCTACCTGGACGGGGCCTGGTGCTCCAACAGTTTCAGTGCGACTATGGTTATTGAAGGGGCACACTGCAGAGAAGAAAAATATAGCCCTGTGCAAGGAAGATCTTTTAATATGCATCCGGGCAGCTTTCAAGGCTCACCCGGAGAAAGGGTATTGTTATATTCACTGGCAGATGTCAACGGATATGTCCACTAAGCCACTATTTACAATGGATTATGACGTTACTGGTGAGATGCTTCAACTTGTGACAACGCGAAAGCCAAGCGAACAGTCTACACCAGACGTTGAAACGCCTCCACCGGCGGTCGAAAAGCCTCAACTGGCGGTCGCGAAGGATGCCGGCCAGAACTCAATGGAGCAATGACGACAAGATCTGCTGAAGATCTGCTGAAGGCTGGCAAGACAACGTGATGAAAGAGCATTCTCTTGACAATGAACAAAAATACGTTGTGTGTGACCATCATAAGATGGCAAATAGTTAAATCAAACATTGTCTGCTAGAATTGAACTTTAGTTGGGCCCATCATCAGATGGGACATAGTTATTTTGAACTTACGCTTGTGTTCATCATCAGATGACTGATACTTACACAGAGAGAACATTATGAACTTTAAAACAAAATAGTACTACTTTGTCGTAACAAAGTTTAGGCATATGCTATATAGTGTAAGGGTGTGAGGTTCAATTCCTCACTTGTTGGGGTACTGGTTGTACCACCCGATAAATAATGTACCATAGCACTATTTACTTGTAAATAAGGTATATTATGACAAATAAAATAAAACTTACCTGACGCGAGAGGCACCTTGATCAATTAGGAGGTCCTCTCAGGATGAGGCCCTTTCATTGCACTTCGACTGGGTTGACTCCTGCAATTACCCCTAATATGGGTAACTCGAGCGTATAATTTCTGGTAGTGGGGACCTGCGTTCGCGCTCGTCCCCTTCAACATATATATTCATGTATAAAAAGCCGTTTTTGTTTCTAACACTGCCGCCATGTGTCAATTGCTTTTGTATAGAATCAGATGTCAAACGGTATCATTTATCACAGAAGACACTCTATATATATTCTCCGTGCCGAAATCTCCATCTCGTGTTCATATTATATGGTAAGTAAAGCTAAACACGTTTATATTTTGTAAGCACTTCGAGTCTTTGCACACTATTGAATCGATTCGCTGTATAAAGTCACTTGCTTGCCAACGGAATTTCAAGCCATCGCACGTACATTCCAAGTGCCGATTAACTGGCTCGCATGTCACTCAAGCGCACGTGTTTTGCCGGCCAAACTTATAGAATACCAAGTAAACATTTATTCAAACATCGCATTATTTCATGGTGCGTGACCCGAAACCTTTCCAGGTCACAATGCAATTTGCGAGCGAAAGAAGCTCGGCGCATTCATGGATCTTTAAAGAGTGTGAATGCCGATACGTTCGCAACTCTCGTCTCACCGTCCATGCCACATGGCCGCCGTGCCCCTCTCCACGACCGCACGCACGTGCGCAAAAGAACCACGAGAGTCACGTTGGGCGATCACCACGGACTTGCCGTCCTCGTGCGACGAGTGATCAGGCGCTTGTCGACGTCATAATCGCTCGCAAGTGAGCTCCTTCTCACCGCGTTTTCGTAGCACAAGTGTTTGGTAGAAATATGTGTGGCAAACAACGAAGAAGGCATCGCATCTCGGCCTTTTGGCTAAGATCAAATTAATTAATTAATTAATTAATTATCACTTTAAATTCATTACAACCAAGTTTGAACTGGTTATGATGAGTCCTTTTTCATCACAGTGAACTGTTTACTATTGGTATAGAGTTTTCTTATTTTACCGGCTGTATTTCATTGCTTATATATAATGGCAGAAAACAATTCCCATAAGAATTTTATTAAATGTCCAGATTGTAGCTTCATATCACTATCACAAGGTGGTCTTGGTGTCCATCGTTCAAAGCTACATAACATCTCAATACCCGAAAATGTTGATCGTTTATATGTTGAACGAATTTTTCCTGAAGGGAAATCTATTTATTGTTGTTTGTGCGATACCACCATCGGTTCCATTGCGAACTTTCGTAGACATGTTAAAAGTAAACACAAACCAGTTAAATTAATTGAATCAGCCAAGTGTGCCCTTTGCTATAAATCTTTCTCTGATGGTCGTGGCGCTGGCGTCCACCTCAAACGTGCGCATAGTATTGGAAGTAATACACCATATCCTCATTCCCCCATCCCAGTAATATCTTGTGTG